AAAAAAAAAAAAAAATTCTGATACGTAGTATTTAAGATGCGAAAGAATAAAACGACAGTAGTTACTCAAATAATGACCTGCTTTCGTCTGCTTCACTTGTTTCTCGGTCATGCCTATTTCTACTGTTGTTGGGGCTTCTGAAGGTTTATCAGCTAAATAACCGGAAATTAAACCACGGAGAAATCAGAACAGTCAAGCGAAAAAGAAAAGTGTAAGGTGATTCATAAGTACCATGGTTGGCTCTTCTCTTTGGTGTAGGTCTTGATACGCTTGGGGACGGTGCTGCTTCTGGAGCAAATGAATGGCGAGAAGCTCTAGTACGTCGGCCTTCTTTTGAGTCAATATTATCTGTAAAAAAAAATGTTGATGGTGAGCTCACAAACATTAAGATTTCTATCGAAAACTATGCCATTACCAGCAATAACATCAGTAACACTGTTAAACTTGGCTGTTTGGAGTGTCTTAGCTTCTTCCGCACTAAAGCACAACTTATCCCATGCAATGCTGGAACAAAAAACCAATTAAACCAATCAAATTCATTCACTGGCGGTAAAAGTGAAAGACAACAAGTAAAAGAAGGTAGAATCAGTGTTGGGTACCGAATCGCTAAAAAAAATATAAAAAAACAAACTCAAAAGTCTTTCCACTTTCACAAATCTTGACTCGAAAAATGCCTTCTGCCCATTTCTGATGATCTTTTTCAGAAGGAGAAGAAATAATTTCAACCTCTTCTAATCTAGAATCTTTCTCCGGGATTTCTGGGTCTGACGCATACACCTAAAAATTTTATATTGCACAAAAGCCTGTGGAGAAGCTGTATGACGGCTTGAACAACTAAATCAACTGAGAAATGAGTAAGCACTGATTACCTTGATCCCGCCAACTAAAGCCTGCAAGGGTATAATACCAGTGACCACGAGTTTGCGGATAAGTTTATCTTGAACGAATGTTACTCCGTAACGACCGGCTGCATCAAAATCTCTGTAACATTATAATTTTAAGTGAAAAGAACTGCTGATCTGCAAAAGTCAGTTATTCAAAGAGGTTTAAAACTCAATACTACCAAGAAAATAATTTCAGCAAAAGAAGCTTAGTGTATTCTTTTTCACTGGGAGATCCCAGAAAACTTGTAAGAAATACAGTAAAAGAAGATGAAGTTACGCTCGTGAAAAAAGCAATAAGGAATAGACAAAAAGTACTTCAGTTGATATAAAACACGGGGAAAAATACAGCATGCAGACACTCTTATCAAAAAGGAACCATAGTGGACCTTAACCAATAAGACAGCTGAAACAAGAAAACTAACGATGTGATCACCGCAGAGTAATATTCACGGTTCCACAATGCGTAAACTCGAGCACCCAGTTTATAAGGCATATGTTCATTCTCACGATGATCAACTACGAATTGTTCCTCAGGAGTTAAATGCGGTATTTCAGGCTCCACTTTTTGCTGCTTGGCAGATATGGGAGTTGCATTCATGCTGCTAAAAAAAGACGGTAAAAAGACTTCAATAAGATAGAAGAGGAGTAAACGAAATACCGTAAATCTTATGGAAACAAAAACTATCAATAAGATAGTTCAGTAACTTCAAGACAAATATAAAATTCAGAACAAATTTTCATAAAAAGTATTTAGAGAACAACCACAACCTAGTGCGTTTTCTGGAAGTCTCAGATTTCTTCCCGGTACTAGGTGTCTTTGCAGCTCCTCGGCTTCTCTTTGCACTTTTTGGCTGTAAGAAAGGAACAAAAGAATAGAAATAAAGAAATTATCTCCTTTGGATCAAGAAAATATCCGAATGAAAACTTCAAATAAGCTACAACTTGACGAACAACAGACAGAAGGTCAGAATACACTCACAGTTGTGGGTTCACTGGTGTCCATTGGTTCATTTTCTTCTCGAGCTGACTCTTTCACTGATTTAGCGCTGGCTCCCCTGCAACAGGAAAAACAAGTTTCGCAATGAGCAATCTGAATAACTCTGTTATATCTACCTTTTAACTTTCCTTGCTGACTCCTGCCGCTGGCTCGTTGACGTACTTAATTCTGAGAGAGATTTTCGAGGAGTCTGAAGTAAAAAACAATCACAAAATTCTTTATATGT